ATGAAAAATTTCAACACTGAATAATTTTTTATATTTAAATTAGACCTAATTACAAAAAGCAAAAATTCATGCCCAGCAAGATCCCATCCATGGTCTTACCACTGGAAGCCGCCAACACTACCACTCGGCCAAGCCGCCGCTGGAAGCCGAGCTCTGCCGGAGTCTCTTACAGTGGGCTTTCATTCGAAACAACCTCCGTAACACTTTTCAGAGAATCGTTTCGCAAATTTGGAGAGTGGATTCGAGATCAGCGTCCGAAAACACATCTCTGAGTATAGGTTTCATTACGGATGGCCACTTCGACTTGGTATCCTTCCCTTGTAGATAGACACATTTAGGGGTGTCGCAATCGCCAGGTTAGAGATTTCAAGGACGAACATAGAAAAAGTAATTTTTCTGAGTAAACTGGAAAATTTTGAATTGAGCGCATTGTTATAAGGGGATTGGGTGTGGTTAGGGCCTCTTCCGAACGCCCTTCCACCAATGACGCCCGATGACGTCATCAACTCCACCATCCAACCATTGTGTTCACTGCCTTTAAGTCTCGACATAATGTTGAGCCCCTGTTAAGTTTCGTGGAAGAAATCTCTACTAATTAACTGCACTATGTTTTGGAAGAAGTGGGCAACTATTTAGCCATTGTCGAAATAGCCAGGCGGCCGAAATACGACGCCCTTGTGCCAGCATTTAGACTAAAAGTAGAACTGGTGAGATACACCGTTGGCCGGCGTAGCCTCGGCGGTCGGAATTTCTCTTTGCTGGCCATCCCGAGAATGTCGTATTGAGAAAACCGGCCAATTTCAAAGGAAATGAATTCGGTACGGTAATAAACATTTTTTGTCATATTTCAATTATGTACTGAAGATCGTATCGTTTCTTATCATTACTGAGTTAGCTAAATCTTTCCTAAGTTCTGTGTAATTTTAACCCTGTCCGTCAGCATCAGTGATCATGCTTGACTAACCCTAACATAACCATGCGAACTGCTTATCACTTATTAGTACTATTTCAGGCGGTGGTACTTCCTCACAGACATGCACGCCGTTATTTCCACCATTTGGAGGTACTCTGAACTACTCTACCGGATCCACTTTTGGCCCTTTCACCTCAGGAACAACAGTCACACTTCGTTGCACCAGCGGATTCCCAATGGGTAAGCTAAACCTCAGCCATGTGGCCTTCCAGGCAGGTCAGCTACCCATTTGCGTTTAGGAACCACTGTGAGCACATGCAACAATGGACAGTGGTCGCCGCCTACACTTGGAACATGCTCTATGGATGCAGGTAACTACATTGCACTCACTATATTCCCTATCCGGAATGACACCGAATGAGCCCATAGGTCGTAGGAATCGAAAGGATCTGTTGGAAATCCTACACAAGGGCTTTTATTCAGACGACGCTCATGTTCCAATAGCTTTCCAATGTCCGTCTACCCGTTCCTTCTCGATGAGAAGAGGATTCCAGGATAAGGACGAAGCTCGAAGGAGGAAAATTAACCTAGTAGAGAAAAAGCTGACCTCCTATAGTGGGGATGACACGCAATTCGCATCGAAGAATATGCCCCGGCTGCCTAGCATGACCTACCTCGCTGCGCCTTCGGCGCACTATCGGCGCGGCACGCCCCTTGCGGTGTCTGAGCCTCTAGCAGAGAGAGCGTCAGCGTTGGAGAGTTGAAGAGGGCAGCACCGATGAGAGTCGCATCAATGCGGAAATCAACGGGCAAGGAAGGGGTCCCATTTCTCGGGTTTGGGCCGTTTTTCATGGTTTTTCCTTCTTTCGTGTATCACTGACCATCTCTAACTTAATTTCCAATGGGCTGCTTTTTCATCGCAAAATCCGCTTTAGCGCAGTTACTTGTACTCCCAAGATTCAGAATAAAGGCAGTAATCCCGATGGCTGGATGGCGGAGCAATGTTGGTGAACTCACTGAGCCTGATTGGTGGAAGGACATTGGGAGGTGGTCCCGACCAGGGTAAACCGTCACGTTCGCACTTTTTCAGAAATTGCGAGCCCTTCCTCTTTAGGGCGGTTTCGAAGCGGCCCCATCACCACCATCAGTCTTGGAAGAGTACACCCATTCAAACACAGATCACTTCAAAGACCTCCGCTAGCCCGTACCAAACTATAAACCTGCCCGACCGCAAAATTTCTCTCCCTCCTTCGGATCACAATTCGACCCCGCTCGTTCGAGTAGTGCGAACGGACGGTTCACGTACCTGTTCCACTCCTCAACACCATACACGCACCAAAGGAATGCATGCGCTATAAACTTTCGTAAACCCATCCCTACAGACCTCTCAGCCACAGTACCATTCTTCAAGCGCATCCTCTCCTGTGCCCGATATTACTGACAGTCCCTTCTATTTCAATTGAAATTCGAGAACCTTGTTGAATTTCAAAGTTTTTGGTCAGCTGTTATTTGTGCTAGTTTTGATGTTCCTAACAATCGGATTTTCAGGTGCCGGCCTGGTCTAACATGTCCAGCGATGATGACACCATTTGGTGGGATGCTATCGTACTCTATGGGTGGTACGGCTGGGCCTTTCCAGTCCGGCTCTACAGTGACGCTCATGTGCACTAGTGGATCTGTCACAGGTACATATCGCTGATAAGTAAGTTTGGAACTGAAACGTGGTAACGCAGCAGCGCGGGGCGCTGTGGAGCCGCATATTACAAAATAAATTTGAGCGTTCAAGAGCTCCATTACCCATTTTTAAGAGAGATGTTGTGCGATGGTGGAACCATGATTTCAATCCTGACGGGAAGAGGACCTATCGTTGAAAATTGCTTTCTCGATCTCCATGTAGCTTTTCTTTCTAGGCACATCGTCGGCGACCTGTACGAATGGACAGTGGAGCCCACCAACACTAGGCACCTGCTCCACTACGGGTGCAGGAACGGGAGGTCAGTTTTGAAATTTTCAATTAGCATTGTACTGAAATATCTCGTCGCCAAGTTCCAGTCTAATTTGCCACTGTTTTCCAAGGTATTGTAACGACAAACCTGCTTTCCATTTCCACCATTTCGGAGCGCCACCTTTCATATTCCACTGTGTGATGATGGCCAGATCCGTCCGGTACAACTGTGACTCTATGTGCACTTCCGATTTCCTACAGGTAGATTTAGAAGCATTAGTGATCCTGGTCTATCTCGTGATATATCATAAAAGCCGCCGTACTGTGGTTCCGATCCGTTTTTTGCATAGTAAAACGGACAAGCGAATCCATTATAACGTGAAAAATGAAAACTTAAGCAAAGATCGGGGTAGAGTTGGAGTTTTTGCTAATTGAATGTGTGCAGGGATCGAATGGACGCCAGGGAAGAAAAAGCGAGAGAAGACCGTCGACAAGGTCGGAGATGAGACCAATCCTCAGCATCAGTGAAAGAGGCTAGCTTGAGAGAAAGTGATGTCCGAACATTTCGACATACTACCAGTTGCTGGCCTCGGTGGCAATCAGTTGCTAGCGACAGCCTCTGCGATTTCACTCCCTATGCCAGCCACGCCGCGAGCTCGTACTCAGAATGGCGTCCCTCGACCAATGCCGGCGCCATTGTTCGAATATGTAGGCTATTGAACGCCTTCGCAATTTTGGCATGTCTCATGTTCCATTACTTTCTGAAGAAGCTGCGCACTCTTCTCCCGTGCTTACTGCAGTAACCGGACGATGCCGCTAAAGGATCTACCTAAAACTGTGCTGTTTCACGCCTAATCTGCCGTGGGTCTGCTCATCCAACCTGGAGGCAACAATCCCTGTCAGCTCGAGTCGACGTCCCCCGAGCAGGCGGCACTTTCATTGGAGTCCTCCCTGAAAGGTTTACTTGCATGCCATGTCAGGCCTAATCAATACTCTTTCCTTTTCATATATGCAGTCATTGAATGCTAACGACTATCATGCCTGTGTTTCGGCACCAAGTTTAGAAACCTTATAGAAAAAGTTTATAAAAAAGTACGGGTACGAACGTTGCAGCTCCTAGAATTGGATAACTGAGCATAAAAGCTAAACTGCATCACATAGTTTTCCTAACATAATCACAAGTTAAGTTACTGGGAAAGGCTGAAAACAGGTACAAAATCAACCTTGAAAAGAAGAAATTTCTTCTACACAACTAATCTCGGCCAAAAGTGCGTTATCGCCCCCCATTCGTCGGGACGGTCGTCCCCTCCATCTGTGTGTCCTCATGCACACAGTGATGTGGAACTTTCCTTACCCCGCTATCACCGCCTTCCTTTTGTTCCCAGTTGTGGAGATTTCGGATAAATTCCAAATTTAGTGAACACTTCTGGAAAAAATTGAATTTTAAAGCTTCTTCTATCCATGTGCGAAAATTTGTCCCACACTCTCAAGAAGGCAGACATTCGCCACTGAAAAGAGTCATTCCATCAAGTGTCATACGGCAGCACATTGGTACGAAAAAAAACTCAAGGAATTCAAAATTTTCGAGGCTACTGTTTCAAAAATTAGCCCATTCCACTTGCCAAAATCGACTGCGTCATACATTTCACATTTGGTGGTACCAAATGCTTGCGCATCCCAGAAAGGAGTTGATCCAATTGTCGCAATGTTCATATTTGCATACTAGTAAAAATATACCCTAGTCTCCGCATAAAGCCACCATCCCTTTCTATTTCGCAGGGGTACATCCACTGGCAAATCGATTGAGTGTAGGAGTACCAGAATCTTGTATAAACAGAAGTATAAACGTTTCTGGGGGTACCTACTTTTTCCCATAAAACGCAGGCGAGATCAACAGTGAACTCCAAGACTAGACCCCTGCATCTCGCTTCAGAACGATATAAACTCTCAGTTTTACTGGTTCTGCTCCACAGCTACTGTCTTTAATGGCTCATGGAGTCCCGGCACGCTGACACGTGCTCATCGCTGTACTGGTGTCGGCCAGGTGCTTTGAATATCGCAATATTTGTTTCGTTGTATTTTTATCGCTATAGCCGCCAAAAGTTCTTGAAGCAATTTTAAGATCCGTTCGGGCCTCATCACATGTCCTCAATATGCCCTCCATTTTGTGGAACGCTCTCATACTCCATGGGTGGTACAACTGGACCATTTCAATCCGGCACAACTGTGACCCTTATGTGCACTTCTGGATTCCCCACGGGTAGGAATCTGTTGAAATATTCATTAATTGACGTTTTGAACTTTATCCTGAGCCCATACTGAGGCTAGCGGAGAATAAGCAAGCCTTTTACAGGAAACTCAAAACACTATGAATGCTTCTAAATTTAAACGCAATAATTACACGGAAATTTTTTCCACTTCGCCATATGTAAGGTGTTCCTAACTTTTAAAAAGCACGCTCGTGTAAAAATAAAGTAGAAGAGTGCACTAATACAGCTAGAGATGAGAATGGTCTGCAAAAAAAGAGTTAACTGCGCATTCCAACCTTGTATAAGAGATAGGCATTTGGTACGAGTTCCCCTAGTCTTAGGTTAGCTCCAATCCTCCCGCTGCCAATGCACTCGAAACAATAGGAACAGTGCCCGACTGTGCCGCGCTTCCAACAGTGTCAACGCGGCAGGCAACACCATGAAGTGGAGCTGCGGACGTGGAGCGTGGGAGGGGAAAACTGCGGTTTAAGCCACTTCGCAGCACCTTCATCGCACACTTTCAAGCCGGGGCACGACATCAACGCTCGTCTGCCTGCCTGCTACGCTCGGGTATGGAACATGCGAGCGAGCATAATCCCGGAGCGTGTCTCCGAGGAACATGGAGTAATCAAAAAGTCGTTAAATACGCCTGGCCTATTGCTGAATACTCCACTGGTAACATTTTAAAAACCTCCGTGAATCGCGGAAGCGTCCTTAAGGAAGCGCAAGCGTCAAGGGAGAACCTCATGTATAGCGGCGAACTCATTGAAGAGATACTATAGGTGCATTTTCGTACGCTTATTGTCAAGAGTTTTTGCAGGATCTTCATCAGCCTTGTGTTCGAATGGTCAGTGGACTCCACCGACTCTGGGCACATGTTCGACGACAGGAGGAGGTATTGGAGGAATAGGAGGAGGAATAGGAGGTATAGGGGGCACAGGTGCGTTTATTGGGTTATTCTTATGTCTAGAATGAGAAGAATTACGAATAGTAAAATAAAAACGAAGAATAGAAATGAAGACTCGCCCAACTCATGGGATCACTGCCCCCTGCATGCAATTAAGAATTCCTTTTTCAGGGTCAACGTGCCCAGCCATGACGACGCCACTTGGAGCCACCTTAAACTACTCTTCTGGGAACATTTTCGGTCCATTCACGTCCGGATCTACCGTAACCATGAACTGTTCGAGCGGCTCACCATTGGGTATGAAATCTCTACTGAACGTGTCATTTTCTGCAAAGTAATCGAGCAACCTTTAGGCGCAACGACGGCGACCTGCTCGAATGGCCAATGGTTTCCCCCATCACTTGGGACCTGCAATCCAGGCACTGGCGGAGGCATTATTGGTGGAGGCATAGGTACAGCTAATAGAAAGGAATTACTCTTTGGTTTCGTCACTTTTTCACACTGCCAAGTCGCTGCTACCTTGTTGGAGCCGGCGATACATCTTTTGAACCGGTCGCTGGCGGATGGCGCATCGCACGTGCCTCTCGAATCGCAGGATTCGCGAAGTCTGTCACCGGTTCTACAATAAACACAAACATTTCCACCTTTTTCAATTGCAAAATTTTTTTGTATATTTTAATCAATTTCTATTCACTTTATTCAATATACAATTAATTTCATTGCATGCTCCTCTGCATGACAAATTTGTACGTCAGCTCAAGGTTTATTCGTCTTTCCCCTGTGTCTTTATTTCGCCAATCCCAACTCACTGATGAGCTCCGGGGATTGACGAAATAATAAGGTTCGTCTGAGGAAGGAGCAGAACGAATAATTATTTCGTTTATAATACAGTTTCTGCACAGTAATACGTAGTTGTTCTGTCTTAATTGGCTAATCGCTATGGGTTCTGGCCGACGGCGAGCAACGATAACCGGCGGTAAGCCGAAAGGGACATCAGCTGGTAAAATGGATCCAGTGAAAAAGAGCAGTACAATGAGATAGAGAAATACCAAAAAAAGAATTAATTAGAATAAAATAATAATAATTGATTAGAATAAAAAAAGAAATTAAGAATTTGTGTTAATTAGAAACCGCAACTGTATTCACATAGTATTCTTCAGGACAAAATTGCCCCACTCTGACTGCGCCTCCAGGTGGAACAATCTCCATGTCAAATGGATTGTTGGGAACACCAGCCACACAAGGAACAATTGCCACACTAACTTGTCTCGGTGGTACAGTGCAAGGTTGGTTTTGTTTGGGATTAAAAACTCTACCCGATGTTATTTCCCAATCGAGAGCATTTTCCAAGGGGGAGAGTTCTCGTCACTCGACCGCTCTACGCGAGGGGCTAGGGTCACACTATAGGGCCACTACTCACTTCACAAATGTGCCTCTAGGACTGAGGGAACACCTACCCTGTCGAGGAAGGATATCTTACAGATCTTAGACCACGAATTATATAACGTCGGGGCCGAAGAAGATCTGGTGAACGTTCAACCAGATCTATGTCACCTGGGACCTTAGCACTTCCGCGACCGTTGTCAAACATCCCTACCGGTCAATTTCTGATCCCATTTCCCTTCCGATGCATATGGTTGAGGTACAACGAGTGTTCTTTGCACTAACGGAATGTGGACTCCACCGACGCTTGGTACGTGTAACAGTTCAACAGGGATCGGAGGAGGGGGAATTGGAGGAGGAGGAATCGGAGGATGTGAGCTTTTTTATAGATTGATCGCTTTGTTGATAGATCGGTTTTCATGATAACGTGGCTTTAGTTGTATCTGTTTAGCAACCACTACGTGTCCAGCGATGACAACACCGATAGGGGCATCGCTGTCCTACTCAAATTTTTTGATTTTCCCACCGTTCCCGCCTGGAACAACTGTAACTGCCAGGTGTCTCAATGGAGCAGCCATAACAGGTCGGTTGAGGTGTCAGATATCACTTTTCGGGCTTATAGACCGAGTTGACGATTAGAGGGCAGCAGCTCATTAAGATCAGAATAGGGGTGGTAAGTGGTACCATAAGAAATGGCCCAGAACCCGAGAAAACCTTTAAAAGGGGAATAATAAGAATATAGGAACCTTTCCTTAGCTGTTGATTTCAACATTGATGCGACCTGCATCAATGTGGAAAAAATCTGTGGTGCCCCTTCGAAGCTAATGCTCTCTTTCTACTAAGCGCTTAGGGATCTGCGGCGAGTGGCTAACCAGTCGGTAGGTGTACAGCATCGATAGCGCCGCGGGGAGGGCCATGCAAAAGCTGCTGGGGCATATTTATCGCTGCGAATTGTGTGGCAATTCGCACCTCTAGGGGTCCGCCTGTCTTTTTGGTAGGTAAGTTCCCCGCTCTCCTACATTCGACATCGTGGGGTCCTGGTTTGAAGGCATTGACCACCTGAGAAGGACGTGTATTATTTCTGTGCAATAAGAGGGTTCTAATCCGTACCGGATAACCGTGCAGAGGAATTCATACATATCTAGTCGTCTGAATTTTTAAACACGTTCACTCCAACACGATATCTAACCACGCCTCCTCAGCTGCGGTTGCTTCCTTATGTAAAATCAATCTACTCATAAGTGAAGGGCATGTATGAAGGGCTCTACGTACGCAGTAGTACACTGCGTTAAGTGCAGGGACTCGCTGATTATCCTGATGAACTTTTCCCATCAATCAAAATTTCCGATCTCCATAGGTCATGCTCTTGAAATTAAACATTAGTCCGGCTGGAAAAACGTGGAGAGGGGGAGAGGAAAAGTCAACCATCTTGCCTAGCAGTTCTCCTGAATTTCTTCCGTATGTTGGGTACGTTGACTCGGCTTCAATTTCTCGCATTTGACAATCATGCATTCAGGAACAAGCATGGCTACATGCCAGAATGGTTTTTGGACTCCACCAATATTGGGCACATGCGGAACATCGACCGGTGGTGGTTTGTCGGGCACAGGTGAGGTGATTTCTTTACTTTTTATAAATGCTTATGATCCATTTTCAGGAACCTGTCCCTCAACACCAGCGATTGGCGGCAGAATAGACTACAGTGACGATGACCTGAGCACTAATCATGCGGCTGGTTCTACTGCCACCCTTCTTTGTACCAGTGGAACACCCATCGGTGAGCTTATCTATACATATTTCAATTAGCACCAGATTCTAAAAAAATTTTCCTTACTATCTAGTTGGTAAGAGTTCCATTCGTATCTCCTGTCACTGATCATTTCTGACTGACCACCACAACCGTTTTTACGACGCTTTCATTTGCTAGCAAATGGCTTGGACTGTTTCACTCCATTCCCTGAACCCAACTGTGAGAGGTCTTGCTTATGACTGTTGGGTTTATCTGCTTGATTCTACCACTCCAAAACTCACAACTATGCTGACGCAAAGCGCAGTATCGCGACAAACATCGTCGATGACATACACAACGCCATCTCCCACTGATGGCGTATGCATCTTTCACCCTCAAATGACATTCCTAATAACACATACCTCCTACGAGCAATACGGGTGCTCTGCCCTTTAGGCAAATAGTGAACCCTACACACTCTATAATTGGGCCTAACATCAATTGGGGCCAACAATTAGTTCAAAAGTTACTTTCTGCAATACACCCTCCTCCACCTCCAAGCTTAGCCAGATTCCTAAGCTGCGCAACAACTTCTTGTCTGACTACCTACTCCATTTTACAAGCTGCCACTTCTATGTTGTGCAGTCTGTCCAAGCGGTTGATCATCAGACATTGCCGGTTACATACGCTACCACCTATGACTGTATGTAAAATTTCTGAAATTTTATAGGTTCGGCTCTATCAACCTGTCAAAATGGGCAGTGGACCCCACCGATTGGAAGCTGTACAACCACAGGGAACACTTCGGGTGTTTCATGTATCTTCGCACCGTTTTCACCGTTCGGTTCCACACTCTCCTATTCAACTGGAAGCACAACGGGACCATGGACTCAAGGTCAAGATTAGTGCGAACATTTTGACACTGCTACACGTATCTTCCCTGAAGTATGACCAATTCAGGAGCAATTGCCACTATGACTTGTCCCCCGGGTCAAAATGTGATCGGCTCGTCTACTAGCACGTGCAACAACGGCGTGTGGACAACACTTGGATCGTGTTCAACAACAGCACCGACAGGTAATAAAACTTTGTATTTTGGCACTTTCGGGTTCACGCTTGCATGGTTGAGTTCCTATATGTGCATGTTTTTGTTCGCATTTCTCAAACACGTTACAGGATCCGCGGGTTCACTTTTCCCGAATCGTTTCCCTTGCTATTTTGGATTGGTTGAACCACTGAACGGTTCAATCACCTACAGTGATCCGACTCCACCGTATTCGGATGGATCTACGGCAACACTGAGGTGTAATGCTGGGTACACTGTCACAGGATCCGCTTCGTCCACTTGCACTGATGGCTCATTCACTGCGATTGGCACATGTACCAAGACGTTATGATCTGTTGAATTCATTCCGATACCTCATTGTTCGTGTGTGTATATCTCAGTGCAATTTCTCTCCGGTTCGTTCCTATTTGGAGTGTTGATTACGTTGCTGGTATTAAGCATGTCATCTGAAAGCAAAAGTTCTAGTATTGTTGAAAAACCAGCACATGTTGTTGTCTTGTTGTTTGCTCGCTGCACTTCGTCCATTCTTCAAGATTTTGTCCCATGCATGTTTGAGGAGCGTGTGTGTCGTTAGATCACGGCGCGGCTTGGCTCAGATTTTCCGTGTGGAGCGATATTTCGGTAGTTAAAGGAAGCGATCACGCTGGCTTCCACGCTGGATTTGCTACCCTCGCGTTATCAATCGATAAGGTGTGAGGCAGTAATTGTTGGACGAGTGTAAGCCCATGGAAGATATGATACGATGAGATAAGAAGGTGCGGCTGCTTGATAAGAGGTGCACTCCAGAATGAAAACGGGACGATAACGATAACGGTATCATATCTAGCACGCTCTTATCGCACCCCTTTCCACATCGATAAGTCTTGGTTTTTGCTAACCGGAAGTGGATTTCGGCGCCTTATCACTCCGTTGATAAGGCGCCACTGCCACTGAAACTTCACGTGTTTAACATTGGGCAGGACCCCTATCCACTCCAGTACAGCTTTCCTTATCGTCCCTATGAGAATTATCGTGACCACTTCCTTTAACTTCGTGAAATTCCTGCTCAGATCAGAATTAGTCAAAGCTACAGGCTTGGGGAAACGGGCGTCGGCTGAGGCAAAGCTATGAAGGTCTGCCTCAAAGGACAAGTATGAAGGGTTGCTTGCTCAACAAGGTATGAGGTTGCTGCGCTGAAACCAATTATCGTGTGAACAGACCGCGCACACACGCCGCGAACACGGTATTGCCGCGCCGTGTGGCGGCGACCACCTTCCTCTGTACGTTATACGGTTGGTTCAATTCGCGAATGATCGAATCCTTCGGTGAGTCAAACCTTTTCCAGAGTTGTGTAGATACTTTTGTGTGCGTACACCTTGCACAGCTACAGCTACAGTCCTATCCTCTCCACATTATTGTTACCACAACAAACGACCGATCACATAGAAAAATAAGGTTTTGTTGGTGTAGGTGCCTTCGAATTGCAATCATGCAGGTTTGGTTCAACTGTTGCGTATTTGTTGTTCCCATTAGTTTGGAACAGCAGGTATTCAGTTGATATGTCACTACTGAGCCAGCACTATAGTAGATTTCACGAATCCGTTGCAAGGTTAACGTTAATGGTCACACTAATTGCCTGTCGCCTGTCGTACAGTAGGCCGTCGATTTGCTCGAGCGGGCGCCAGCAACGCCTTCATTCGTCCCTGTCGCGTGCTGGAGTCGTGCTGTGGATCCTACTCGCTCCGAGGAGCCACGAAGCTCATTGGGGATGCGTTGCGTTTGCGTTGTTAATTCTGTGATATAAATGAACGATCACACCTAAAATGGAAAAATTAAAAAGATGACTACCCAAAATGTTGAAGGTATATTCTTCTAATTCTTTCTTCACTGAGTTTACTTCCATACAATGTACTCTTACTCAAGCCGTCGTTTTTCTCCAAAGTGACGACCCAACCTTTAAGTGGTACTTCCTTAGTTTTGCGGCTTTTTTTTCGATCGAACGTCTTCTTTATTCTGGTGAGTCAATGGTTACTGATAATGTGACATACAGGGTGGCTGAAAAGTAGAGGACGCCGTTTTTTAAAGTAAATGTCAGGAAATGAAACTGTATTGACAAACCAACTTGAAATATAGAGTTGCGCCATCTGATGAGTCAGGATGAAAGGTGCTCTAACAGGGTCGGTCCTATCGTTGCTACTTTTCAAAAAGTTTTTACGACCCCCCTCCCTCATGAAATGTTTCATACGACCCCCTCTTTCAAAACAATTTTTACCCCAAAAAAATTTATTATTACTTACTATAAAAGCGCAAAAATTCCCAACCATTTCCCTACAATTTCCATGTATTTTACCCATCTTTCAACTGCTCCATTTTCTGAGGGAGGGGGGGGAGGTTAACTACTGTAGCAACATAGGTTACAAAGATTATAGGCTTAAGGAACGATAGGAATGTAATACGTAACCCAACGTTTGCGCCTAAACACGTGACGGACGCCGCCCTGTGTTCGTGCAGCGCTTCGTCCAAATGGAGGCGACCGTGTGCGCACGTCGCGGAAGTCTAGCCGCAACACCGTCGCAGTTTGGTCGCCGCCTTCGCTCTGCGCGGCGACCGCCTGGAGCTGCGCCGCGAGCCTAGGGGGTTCATCCTCGAAAGCCTCATCCGACGTATGACGCGACAGCCGCTTGCGTTGCATCCTCCACCTTCTACATAAACGGCGCTTAGTACTCTGCGCGGGCCTGCTCGACGCATTCTCTCTTCGTTGAGAGGGTGCAGAGAAGACGAGAAAATCGATGACACGTGAGAATGCGCGCCCCAGTGCAACAACGTCGAGAAGGTTACGGTATACACCCTATGTTCCGAACTTATAATCTTGTCATAGGGTTGACCCTGGCTCTAAGTTTGACGGTTCTACTTTTACAGAGGCCTTCTGACGTCCAACGACAAAATCAGCAGTGCGCCGCAGGTAGCCAACGGCGATGTCGTCCCACCTCTTCTGAAGCGCTAACTTCAGAGCATCCACCGAGCTGTAGAAACCTTCTGAGATCTTGCTCTCTAACATCCCCACATAGAGAAGCCCATCAGTTAAAGGCGTGGAGGGGGGGGGGCTGTTGGAGAGAAAGGACAAAAGTCGTTGCTCCATTGGGCGGGGAATTTCTCGAACACCACCGATCGGTTTGAAAGCATATTAGGAAGTTCTACTTCATTGGGAAGCAAATGGCACTCGGTAGAATGCTAGCGAATCCAGGGCAAAATTCTGCCCTAAAAGTAGACTTTTGCAATACCTCGACTTAATTTTGACATTGAAGATGTACACCAATGGAGCTTCACTTTTGGATGTTACCCTGTCACAAACTACCACACCTTTGGAGAAAGTCTGTTGTAAACTAAACGTTATCTCGGAGACTTGCTCTCACTTTTGGCAACAACTGCCTCTGACTTTGGTGGTCGCAAAGAAGTTTAGTTCGAAAATTTTCTCATTAGCCAATCGTAGGAGAGATGCGGCGCACCTCGAGCTCGCGCAGAAGCTTTTTGCATTTAATCAGCCGATTGATTCAGAATGCTGCAATAAATAGATAGAAACGGTGAATCTCCAGGATAGAGTAGCACCGTAGTAGTAGGATTGGAGGCAGATTCAGAGCTTAAAAGCGATGTGACTCACGCTGGCTTCATCGTTATGGTGGCCCTCTTTTTAATGATGCCCTAATCCTCTGGACGTGCACAGTTCTCGACCTTCCACTTGTTGCGATCCCAGAGACGTGTACTTAAACCTTGAGAGCAGCGAAGATGTTTCGAAGAGTAGAAGAGGAATATCGAGTCGCTCTGCGGAGTCGCAACTTCGAGACCGTCCTTGGCAGTCTCTTGATTATGGGTCGATGCGAAGAAAACTTCATAGCGAGAGTTCAGATGAACTTTGGACCAAATAACTTATGGTGCTTCTTACACAGTTTCAAAGCTTTCGAAGAGTTTTGAAACATCCGAAAATACTCCACGGCTCAAGGCCAGCAAGCGGTCAAAGTCGCGTCCTATACTTTTGAGCCACCCTGTATGTCCACGTGCGTAGCCTCGTGCCACCTACACCTCACCTGCCCATCCCACAAGAGGGCCGACCTAAACCACAGAGCCTTTGGAAATTCCCCTCTGTTCCGAAACAATAACAATGAACACACTTGAACACACATTAAAGGCAAAAGTCGGGCTCAATAAAGGGGTATTATGGCGATTGAAACTGAGTATAGAGATGCGAAGTGGAACGACAGTGGAGAAAAAACTGAGAAAAACCGTCGACAAGGCCGTTAACAAAACCCTCTTTCCCACTAGCAGTGAAGGAGGCTGGCTTGGGAAAGAGGCACGTACAAACAAGTTTTCTGAGATGTCAGTCGTTCTATCGGTTGATACGGCAATCAACCTAGCTGATTTCACACGTTATGCCAGCCACGCACCACTTCCGGAGGTGGGCGGTCGGAGCGCCGCCAGGCGGCGAAAGCGCTTAATACGTGCCCTGGAGCCTTATTACGGCGCCGTTTGGGATTCTGAGCATGGTAACGTCTCTGTGCGTAGCCATGCACAAAGACGACAAAAGGGATTGGTTTGGTCCACTAAGCCTGACTCGTGCCTTTAATGATGAATAACCTACCTCTAAGACTCACCAGTATTTGGACGCCGTCACAGGTGGACATCGCGCTTGACTGACGTCGCACCTTCATCTAATTATCCCTCGCGGACTCTCATCCGCTGGCTCGCTGTCTCCGTCTCTTCTATGTGAAGGCACGATATTGGTTGGTATCCAACAACATGACAGCCTTGTGGCGGCTATGCCCCCAGATTCGAAAGAAGGTTATCACAGCCGGCTTCACGGCAGAAGTTCCATGCCCTAGACGTGGAGAGAAACAGAATCGCCCGGCCCAGAGCGGCATCATAGTGTTGCTCATTGAACCCTGACCTATTGCCAGGGGTAGAGCCGTGAATCCTGGGCGACTATGGAGCACTGTCGATCTCGAACATATAATCACTGAGCGTTTCAATAATTCTAGTCCACCCTACATTTTTCTACCCCAAAGTTGCTGTGGCCTTTTTTTGTGAAATCGCTGCTTGATCACCGTATTAATATCCTCCTCCACGTAAATAAACTGCATTCAGATATTGTGTACTTATTTTTTTTATCCCTTACGAAGTTATACGATGGACAAATTTCCCCCCTCAAGTAACCCAATTAACTTTTTTAGAACGAATTTTCACCGTTTCATGAATATCGGGCCACTCATAAAAAGTTTCCATTTCTCACGATCCGTGAAGGGAATCAGGGAAGCGGGGAAATATGTGGGCTCAGTCGACATCGAGTTTACCATACCTCGT